AGTAAAGAAAGATTGTGTGACTGCTTACATGCTTATAAAGAGAAGGTTAAGAAATATATTAAAAGTGAAAACAGGGTTAGTATAACTACAGATTTCAAATTTCAACAGGGTTAGTACATAGAGTGTCCCACAAGAGTCTGTATACAATCCTCAAATTTCAAATTTTCACAACAGACGCCATTTTTGCATCCATGTATGGTCACAAACAAAGTATTCTATGTAGGGTGACGGAGAAGTCATCCCACCAACGTGGAAACAGCAATCACCAGTAATCTCCACAAGAACAAGCACCTCCTTAAAATGATGAAATCTATTTGCATCTCGCATTATAACTATCCTATTTGCCACTAATGAAACATATTTAGTAAATGTGTGACAATCACCACAAACCCTTATGTTCTTTGTAATTCTAATAGGGCTTCCCTAAAGAGTCGCAAAGAGACCAAATGTGATAGCCAACTTTTCGCTGTGTGTGTATAAGATTCCTCGCTTACATTCCTCGTCAACATCAATGAACACATAATTCGTGTGGGGAACATAGCCAGCCAGCTCTAATTTATTGCACAAACATTTTAGCTTGTCGTATATCTCCTTCGACTGAGGATGAGAATGGTCTCAACAGTAAATTGATGGATTTTGTTATCCACTTCAATGCATGTCCAACCAGGAACTTTTTTCAATCTCTGATGGATTTTCTTATCAACATTAAAATAACGTCAACCCTTCAAATAATTTATTGCGTTCATGCTTTGTTTTACTTTCATTACTCTTCAAGTTATGAGCGAGTAGATGATCAACAATTGATAAGATTTCCTCGGGATGTAAAAGGTTGTACAAGCTAGAAAATCAAAGAACAAAGACATAGACTTCATAGTTGGACGCGAATCGTAAATTTTTATTTTTGCTGATAATACAAGGTAAAAAAATAAAAAAAAAACAATTAATATAGGTTATCCCTCGCTCTGGTCAAAGAGCCCAAAAGCATATGCAAAAACAAAAATTCCAAAATGGTGATTGTAGAGCTCTCCCATGCATCTTAATTCACCTTAGCAGTCTTCATGCTCCAGGCATCTAAAGTCTCTACTGTAATAGCCTCAGTCCCGTTGTTGAATGCATACAAATGAGCCTTGTCGGAGACGGCTTTAGTTGGATAAACCCTGGATGAAATGCAGGTCTTCCCTCCGGCCCCGAAGCTCTCTACCACTGAGTGATCAATCTGCGCCAACAAGGAATCCACAAACGAATGAATGATTCATCATAACATCATGGAAAGGAAATCAATATACAGCAGGCGGAGGCCTGCTGACTAGGCAAATAGTAAAAGGGTAGAAAAAGAACTGCAACCATACCAAGCTCCTAAGAGACAGCTTTTTATCAGTCAGATCCACATCTACAAATCCTGCAAATGAGGGTCTGTACAACTCCTTCTTTAAGGATGACCTGAGACGCGATAAGGGAGTGGAAAGTTGTTCAATCAATGTATAATTAAAGCATTAGTTTTAGAGAAGTCAAAAAAGAGCGAGAGTAGAATTATTTGCCAACTAAAGAAAGTTGACTTGTAAAATATCTAGCCAACCTCGTAGCGTCAGAGCACATGAGAACAACATGCTTGCCAGCGTCTTTGAAAATTCTGAAAAATACAGGAGTGTATTCTTGCAGGTCTTCAGTGGCAAGCGTCACGAGACCAAATGGTCCGAGACCGCCCTGAACAAACGAACCTCTTTTGCTGCAAACATCTTGAGCATCAAGTTTTTTCCATTTTGGATCAAATGGCTCTGCCAAGTCCAAGCTGCGGAAAGAGAACGTCACTTCCACATCGGCCTGCAACAGGATTTATGAATCAGTGTAGAAGATTTCATGCATTCCAATATTCACCTAATTTTTTCCCATGTCTTGTTGTTTTGGGGGGAAATGAGGACAAACCTGTGCAGGAGTTATTCCTGTAACTCCAACGAGGTCGCCCTTCTTCAGCAGCTGATTGCTCAGACGGACATGTGCCCCCCTCAAAGTATCCAATTCCTTAACTGGCCATTGAAGCAATTGTTTCCCAATTGGATCGAGCGTGATTGTTCGTGGAATCAACTGATCAATTGAAGACAAATTAGTCAAAAATATGTGAAACAACATTAGATTATCAATACGAGTATTACTCGACTGGACGGGGTATAAAAGAATACCTATAGTCCAGCAATATATAAATGATTCTTGGAGTAAAATCTAATACTAATATTTAGAATATGTACCTGAATGCCTGCCCAACCCTTTTTGATATCGTCCTTGGCGGCGTCGGACTCATTAGCCCAACCCCACAAAACCCTCCGGTTCTTGCTTGGGTCGAAGAATGATTTGGACGCATAAAAGTTGCCATAATCATATCTCAGCCCTTTCCAGTTATCTGGGGACGTATTGTCGGGTACGTACCTATCTTCTGCGGGGTAATATTTACCAAGGGTGTAGTACTCAAATCTCGTGGCATCAAGACTAACCTTCAAGGCGTGCTTTACATTTTGTCCCAATACAGAAGTGTCCAACCCATTTGTTCCTGATTTGGCTACAGGGTAGAAGTCCGGGCATTCCCAATTGCCAGTCCCAGCAGACTGATGGATGGGATTTGCAGCCTTTTTCCACTTCATGAAGTCTCTGCTCTTGTACAAAAATGCAATTCCTGTATCCTTCCGTCTGCCACCCATCAAGATTCTCCATTCCCCATCTCGGCCCAACCAGGCTGTGGTTGGGTCACGGAATGCTGTTTTGTTCACGCCGGCTTCGGAGACGATCAGTGGGTTGTTATCGGGTTTGACCCACTTGCGCAGATATGGATCGGAGAGGTTGGCTGGCACGGCGTAGTTCTGGACTTGGGTATTGTTCTTATCCACGATACCGGTGTAAAGGATGACCGGCTTGTTGCCTGGAAGAACTGTTGCAGAGCCTGACCAGCAGCCGTACTTGTCAAAGGGTTTTGAAGGGAAGATTGCAGGTTCCAATGGAGTCCAGTTGATCAAGTCAGTCGACACTGAATGGGCCCAGACAATGTTTCCCCATACAGCTCCTTTGGGATTGTATTGGTAGAAAAGATGGTAGACGCCATTATAATACATAGGACCTGTCATCAGCGTTGAGATGAAAATTAGTTTTTAAACCATCAAAAAGGAAAGGTTTTAAAAAGGCGTGGTTTTTGAGAGTGCTCACCATTTGGATCTGCCCTCCAGTCATTTTATGGTCCCGCATGGACATGTAAACAAAGGGTTCAGCCCATTAGTAGTTAGTAGAAGAAACCAATTGGACTAGGCACGCCCAGAAATTCTCTAAGTGTTAAAAAAAAAAAAAGCAACAAAAAAAAAGCAAGAAACGTGCATGATTGTATTATTCAGTAGTATTTTACGAAACATTCATACATATGTAAATGCAGTCTTGATTAGGTACTTTATGCTGGATTTGGATTATCCTAAACATGTGGATAATGGCGTCGTGGATGACATGTTCCGCTCAACTTTCTTTTTCGCTTTTTCTAATATTTTTCTGCCCTATATCAGATTGAGCAATTGGAATGAATGACCATATCAGGAAACCGTTTTGGGAGCAGAATGTCTACGCCAGCACAGCATAACCAAGAATGTTGGATTGGATTGAGACTCTGGCTGCCTATCCTATTCCATCATCCACTAAAACCTTTTCAAATTCCTTAAATTAACAATAATATCAATGGCATAAATGGTATGTGAATTTTCTAATGTTAGCCAAAACAATTACTTGAAGGGTGAGAGTCAACTCTTTCAGCTTTCTTGCTTGTTCTCTCTCTTTTTTTTTTTTTTTTGAAATAGTGTGAATATCAATAAAGCAGAATATATAAGATGATCGACATTGTGAGGTTGCATGCATTGTGTGTAAACTTGTAATGATGCCCAAGAGAGAACGTTAAAAATTGTAGCAAACCACAAAAAATTATGAGGAAAATTACCGTTAATCCAATGCTTCTTGGGTTGAAAGTGGTAGCCGGTTCTATGCACTTGCTCTACTTTGATGGCGGAAAGAGACTGATAATGAAGATAAACATTGTGGGAGGCTTCAACACCATTATAAGAAATTAAAAAGGATAACATGAATACTGGCAAAGCCCAAAGAAACTTGTTATGGAGCTCCATTGGACTTTGACAGTTGATACTATCTTTACAAAAAAAAGATACAATATATATGTACAAATAAGAACAATTGATGCTATTCGATAGGCAGTGTGTTTGGTATTTAAAGGGAGATGGGAGAGAAAACAGACGAGAGAGAGATGGGAGAGATTTTAGGATTTTGAATGGTTAATTAGTGCACTTTTGAGTATTTATAGATCAGAAAAAAATTGACCGCAAGAACAACGTCTATATAGATCAGAAAATTACTTATGGATGGGAATGCTTGAGAAATAACTGCGAAATTAACCTGCGGCCGTTTTGTATGCGTCCAATAGTTTTGATCTCTTTTTCCATTTTTAACTACCTGTTTTATTCTATTTTTGACCAGGAAATAATCGCGGTTGGTGTCTTGAGTTCGGCCAAAATAAAACGTGGGGTCTGACGACAGGAAAACCGAATGAAGAGAAAAGAAAGAAATCATCTTTGCTTCTTGAAAAGTAAAAATAAAATGGGAGGAGAAAGAGATCCCAACCAGTTCACGTCATCTGCACAACGTCCTGCATTGCTAGAACGTTTTCGGCTCAAACAATTTTCTCACGTTCATTCTTCATTTCATACTTGTCTATGGACGCTTTGAAAATTAAGTACATGAATAATCGTGGCTAAAATGTCCATCAAGGACCTTGGTAAAAGCAAACACTGAAAATTCAGAATTCCCCGGCAACTTTGAACAAAATTAGCTGTTGCTACCGACCGAATATTAATCGAACGTGGGATGATCGTTATGGTCATATAGTTCAATGTCCATCCAAAAAATGGTATATGAAGTACTACGTCAAACATATTAGGCTCTTTATATAGTAGGCAGTACATAATATCTGAAGTTGGAAAAATGAGGTCCCTTTATGCTCCAAGCGTCCAACGTCTCAATAGCAACTGTCTTGCTGTCATTATTGAATGCATACAAATGGACATTGTCGGAGACTGCCAAAGTAGGATAAACCCTAGATGTAATGCAATTGACCGTGAGACGATCGTTATAGTCATAAATTTCAATGTCCATCCAAACAAACATCAACCGCTGACTAGCTAAAGTACGTCAAATACATTAGGCAGTACATAATATATGAAGTTGGAAAAATGAGGTCCATGCATGTCGTATTGGATTAGTTCATCAATTTAGGTCCCTTCATGCTCCAAGCGTCCAACGTCTCAATAGCAACTGTCTCGCTGCCATTATTGAATGCATACAAATGGGCATTGTCGGAGACTGCCAAAGCAGGATATACCCTAGATGTAATGCACACTTCGCCTCCGGCGCCAAAGCTCTCCACCACAGAATGATCAATCTGCCAACAGAAATACATCTCATTCATTACGAATATCTTTTAAAACAGAATAAAAGTTTTTTCTTAGTTTTAATAAAAAAAAAAAGAAAAAAAACGGAGGGAGATGTGAAAGTTTTCACCAGGCTCCTGAGAGAAAGCTTCTTCTTTGCCAAATCTACGTCTAAGAAGCCTGCAAATGAGGGCTTGTACAACCCTTTCTTTAGGGAGGAGCTGCCAAGACCAAGGGTAATAGTAAATATTAATACTACATGCAAGATTAGCACGACCATTTAAAGACAGAAACCAAAGATTTAATGCTGCTAGCTGGTTGAGATCTGATCAGCCAACCTTGAAGCATCAGAGCAAAGCAGAATCTTGTGTTTGTTCTTGGCCTTAAATACCCTAACGAAGACTGGAGTGTATTCATCTAGCTTTCCTGAAGCTAGCGTTAAAAGACCAAACGGCCCCAGTCCTCCATGGACACTTGAGCCCTTTCGACTGCAAAGCTCATGAGCATCAAGGTGGTCCAAACTAGGGTGCAACCGCTCCGCTTTGTCCAAACTTGGAAACGAGAACACTACTTCAACGTCAGCCTGCAAGTGCATGTCAAAGCAAAGCACATTCAATCAGCCCTGTAATTTGCTCTTAGGGTTCGGTTAACGATGCCATAATATATTAATCCATAGTATGATCGACAGCGTAAACGAAACCCGAATATCCTACGCAAACCTAACCTGTGCAGCTGTTATTCCTTTGATCTCAACAACGTCTCCCTTCTTCATATTTTCGTTCCTCAACTGAACCTTGTGTCCTCTAAGACTTTCCACTTCTTCAATAGGCCAGGCCAACAGTTGCTTTCCATTAGGATGCAACCATATTCTACGTGGAATAGTCTACGACGATTCAAAAGCAGACGAATTAGCATCTTCAGCTCCCATTTATGATTTACCCAAACCAGAAAAGATAAAATCTGGTGTAATCAATTATCGAAACTTAATGCACGTGTTAAGGAATGAATGTAGTACATCTGTCTGGTGTCTAGCACACAGACGTAAAGCAAGCATATCGTCTATCATACGAGCTATCATATGAAGGTTATCAAATGATTCACCAAAAGAAAAAACAAACAAACAAACAAACTTAATTAGTAGTATGTTAGTAAAAACTGTCCAAACACATGACTTTACTATTGAAAAGATAGGCTAGGCTATTATTAGTATAAGATCCTACAATACCTGAATTCCAGCCCATCCTTTTTCAACATCGTCCATTTTGGTGTCCGATTCATTGGACCAACCCCACAGGATCCTTCTATTCTTGCTGGCATCGAAGAAACTCTTGGAAGCATAAAAATTTCCACAGTCATATCTTAATCCTTTCCAGCCATCCACGGAAGTATTATCAGGTATGTACCTGTCGATCTCGGGAAAGTATTTACCGACCGTATAATAATCGTATCTGGTGGTATCAAGGCTAACTTTTAACACAAATTTAACGTTTTGTTCTTCAATCATTGAATTGTCCAGTCCCTTTTTTCCTTCCCTCGCAACCGGGAAAAAATCGGGGCACTCCCAATTCCCAGTTCTATCCTTTGAATGCAACGGATGTTTAGCTTTAACCCACTTGATAAAATCCTTGCTTTTGTACAAATAGGCAATCCCCGTGTGTTTTCTCCTGCTACCGATCAGGATTCTCCAGTGGCCATCCCGTCCCATCCACGCGGTTGTTGGGTCGCGGAAAGCTGTCCTGTTAACGCCCGGTTCAGCAACGACTAACGGGTTGTCGTCGGGCTTGATCCACTCTTCAAGATATGGATCGGATATGTTGGCAGGTAGTACATAGTTTTGGACCTGTGTCTGGTTCTCATCTACTACCCCAGTATAGAGGATAACGGGCTTGTTGCCTGGAAGGATCGTGGCTGAGCCGGACCAACAACCGTGTTTGTCATATGGTTTTGTGGGCTTTATTGCGGGCTTTAATGCTTTCCAATTAATCAAGTCCATTGACACTGAATGGCCCCATACTATGTTGCCCCAGACCGCACCATAAGGGTTATGCTGGTAGAAGAGATGATAAATTCCATTGTAATACATCGGCCCTGCTCAGCACCCCACCAAAAAAAAAAAAAAAAAAAAATTTTTGAATTTTTTAGGTTATAAAAGTTAATCAACAAAGAGATGTATTTAGGAAACGAACCAAAAAGAAAGAGAAGATCGTCCGTTTCAGTGAAAGGAGGAGAAAGAAATTCATGTTAGTTTGCTTACCATTCGGATCTGCTCTTGATCATTTTAACGCCCGTTGAGTTCCCGTGGAAAAGAAATATAAATTCATTAGCAAAACTTTTAAAAGACGAAAAGAATTAAGTACTATATAGTTCAGTAAGATGTTAACATGTGCTCTGATGTTGGCCATGAAAGTTAAATGGAAATGATTAGTGAATATTCTCCTCCTCTTTTTCTTCATTTGGTAAATTTGTTTTCTTTTGCAAACACATATTATTACCAACCACCAGAACCCAAGAGTCATGACTTATGCAGCAGCATCTGACACAAGCAGCGCTTAAGCCTAAAGCATAACACAGAATAATACGCAAAACGAACTGATCATATCTAGCTAGATAGATTGTTTGTCTGAGGATGTCGGTCGGTTGTGTCTGAGGATATGGGATGTAGGAAGCATTTGGCAATTTAGCCGAGATCTGAGAGTAGTAAATAACATGCATGAAGCCCATTCATCCTTGACAGTAGTAAATAACATGCATGGAAGTTAACAGGGAAGAAGAGGTACCGTTGATCCAATGCTTTTGAGGCTGAAAATGATAGCCGGTTCTGTGTTCCAATTGCTTCACCTTCACAGCAGGTAGAGTTTGATATTCCGGATAAACCTGGTGCGACGCGTCAACCTTCTTAATGCTTAGCAGTGATAGCAATAAACATACGAAAACAAGTGACAAAGCCCGCACAAGCTCATGATCACAGTAGTAGCACTTCATCTTGCTTACAATCTAAAGTGTCACTCACGGTTTCCTGAATATATGTTTTCGGTTTTTATAGACAGACAGAAGTACGTCTTGGATTGTCCGGGGAGAGAGCAAGACAATTAACGACGGATATATATAATATAATTCTGTCTTGAGTTGGACAGGGATTTTGAGTGGATGAAAAAAAAATCGGGAAATTTTGATTTTTTGGATCAAGACTTGCCACTGTTCTCTCCAAAATCAGTTTTCTTACTCGCCAAGAGCTTACATAATTAATGAAAGTTTGTTAAATCATTGAGTGGAAAAAAAAATGAGTAAGATTTTATATGAGATGAACCACATAAATTAATTTGGATTTGATGTTCGATATTTTGTACGAGTCGCTAACTAGTTATGATGATAGCCAGCCATTACCATTGCTTTTGTACTGGCTATATATTGGAAACGATAAGCTCCAGTTTTTTCTTTTTACGTCACATTAAGCTCCAGTCATTTCGGAATAGTGTATTGTATGGTGTGGTTCGCTCAACACCAAAGAATTCAGAAACATCTTAACGTTTAGGAACAAGAAGCTGAAATTAGTACTGGATGAAGAACCTAGATCGATCTCTACTAAACATCAAACACTGAAAAGCAAATTTACTGGATGAAAAAGTTGTTAAAATCCCTAGCATGAATTTTTTTTTTCTTTTTTCCTTTTGCCCATGGCTTTATCTCAGCATTTGTAGAGTATGTGAAATTGGGTAGATCGATCTGCGGAGCCAAAAGTTTTACTCTAGACACGAGAAAATTGGTACTAACAGATTTATTTCGGAAAACCCTTGGGGGGAAACGATAATGGACTTTGGAAACATTATTGTACCGACCCCTTCCTACCATCTGCATTTACGTAGATCTTTTCTGAAAGTGGAAGAATTTGTGGGCACGGATAAAGTGCTTATGTGGTCATTGCATTTGTGGAAACGTTCCGGGGGAATGAGTGAGATGAGAGCACTATCATTCTTACCACCAGAGTATACATACATCTTTCTAGTTCGAAAATGACGACCCCAAAAAAGTTTGTAATGTTCATTTCTTCGCTAGTAACTGCGGTGCATGTTGTTGTGTTGGCATTTGATTGCAGCTTGGTTTCTGACAAAAAGGTTGGGTGAGCATTCGCAGTCGCCAACTGCAGGACCAAATGCTGATTATGTGATACATGGCGACATTTGCATATGCTTCTTCATTTATGTGATACATGGCGATCGACATTCACCCCCTCATATAACGAATTTCTTCCTACTTTCCTAGCCTCATTTGCAAGTGCTAACTTCACGATGTTTTAAACTAATATTCGGATGCTCCTGTTTCTTGTATAAGAAGGCCTAAGCACCGGTAGATAATAATTGACTAATGATGTGAGAAAACAAGCACTTGGCAGTAGAACCTTTCCGGGTGCATGGGTCTGAGTAAAATGAATGCTTAGCAGCTTCAATTAATACAAAATCATATCTACAAAGTACAAATGCAAGCAAGGATGGCATTTTGATGCAGTTACAACGTTGTTGTATTTGTCATATATATAACTTGATATATCATTATATATATAACCTTGTTATTCGTACACAATTGCTTAATGCATGAATAGCATTCGGTTGGTAAATATATACCAAAATTTAGAATAAGTACAAACACCGTACACAAAGAGTAATGAAAATTTTACAATTTCACATAAATTTGTTTGTTATAAAGGAATGGCAAGGGAGAATAGAAGAAAAAATAACATAAAAATGCTCCACAACAATAGAATGGAGTTCTTTAGTGCTTTGTTGTTATTACCCGTAGGCACACTATGTTATTTTCCATAGTTGAAAAATATAATCATCGTTTCATACTCTTTGAAATCGCAATTCAACACTAAGATTTCTGAATTTCAAAACAAATTTTGAGTTTCTTTTTGGCATACCTATCATTTTATTGGTTATATGTTATACAGTTAGTTGGTATTCTACCTTTTCAAATCAATATTGCATATTTATAACATTCTATTAATTTTTAAATAATTAACAAATATAATTTGTAGTGTGTTGCAAAGTCCTCTGACTAAAACTATGGGAAGTTTTTTTTTTTTTAGTGAGAGGACTTGAACTTGAGATTTTTTATTTATAACCCTTTCCGCTTTACTATTCAACCCAATCCTTGCCGCAAAAGCTAAGAGAAAGTCAAGAAGTAATTAAAGTTATAAATGAATTTTAACATTTCTTATGCATAAATGAATTTTGTTTTTGAAAAATGAATTATCAAGCAGAATAAATAGTTGGTATTTAAAATTTAATGACTGTGCTAAACTAGAGCTAAAGTTAGAAGGCTGAATGCGACAATTATGCAGAAGAGCAGAAAAGGTCAAAAGACTTGTATATTAATCTTCTTGAATGCCTTCACTGAAGTTGAAATGACAAAAGTTGCATGCCTTGTCACTAAAATGGCATTTTCCTTCTGAAGCATTCGTCCGAAATCTGTAATTCTTTTTTTTCTGCAGGTTTCTTCACTAAAATGCGTATACCCCCACAGCTACGAATCACAAAAGGATCTTTCGGTCTTTGTCTTCACATATATGATGCATTCTTGGAAGGGTAAGCCAAGCCATTTGGAGGCCGAAAAACGATACCCACCATAGCCATTTGGAGACCTCTCCAGACTGGTGATAAAGATTGGACAAATACCGAAATCACTATAATGGTCCTCCACGGGCTTTTCCCTAAAGTGAAACTCTCTACCCTCTCCAGCCGAAAAGAGCCTCAAAACACACTTGTCTCAGGCACATTCCCAGTTTCCCACTACCTGCCCGATAATATATGCATCTATCTACATACACGTATTCTTGTAATGATTCTTGTAATGATCTTGCACGTTTCTGGCCTTAGAAAAAGATGTGAGGTGGGTGCATTTTCATAAAGATCCAACATCAAATGAGTAAGACAACATAAAGCGCCCATTTCAGAGTTCCACAACCGACATTGTACCCTCCTCCACTGACTTGATTCGCGTTTTTACTCGACCACGAAGAAACATGAATCCAGAAATGGTCTTGGTTTCCATTGGAATTGGTCCTGGATTTTTATTTCTTACATTTCCACGTAGCCTCTCTTAAAATTTAGAACATATCTGAGTCCAGTAATGGATTTGCCTTCGCGATCCACGTCTCCCCACTCCAGACCTTTCGAGCAACTTGAAATTCGGTTAAGGTCTTTGCTGACTGCTGAGGGAATTTTTTTTTTTTTTTTTTTTTTTTTAAAGATTGAAGTATGAGATGCACCATCAGTTTCCCATTGGGATAATTTCAGAAACCTCTCTAACAATTTCACTGAACTCCCTTGAAGTTTTCAATATTACACTTACCTCATTTGATGATAGACAATGACTATAATAACCTTCATAATTTTTCAAAAGACAAGCCATTGATAAAAAAGGAAAAAGATAATAAAAAAAAAGGAAAACAATTCTTCTTGACCAGGCCATATATTGTGGCCAAACTATTTTAGTCATATCCATTAAATTATAACATTCTATCACTCAAATATGTTAATCAAGATAGATGTCTCATTCCTTCTTTCATTCAGATATGCTATTGCTATTGATGATGATGGAAGCAATTATCACTGCCAACAACCCAATTATTCATATTATTGAGCATAAAAAAAGCTACTAGATTACGATAAAGTATAATTTGATAGACTGTACTAAAATTATTACCCCAAACTTGCACTTTTGTTGCTGTTTTGCCTTTTAAAAATTTTTTATGATTATTCATACTAAGGAAATTTAAATGAGGGCAATTTTGGGCATTCATATACATTTTTAGTCTTACATCATCAAGGTGAAATCCAAACCTATGTTTTAGGGGAGGTATGTGTAATTTTCAAAATGTGAGGGGACATATGAATTCCCACTACTTACAAGATATGTAAAGCCTAATGTTCGGAATACAAATTGGTACTCTGGGGCGGAGCCAAAGAATGAATGCGGGCTCTTGACGTCAGAGTCTTTCATGTATCGGGAAGTTCAGGGAAAATGCGACTGCATTAACTGTACAGGAAAAGTTAGGGTAGGTTGCATTATGCAGCCCACTAAGTCAAAGTGCAGCGTAGCCAATTGCTATATTTAAGTAATATCATCAGTTCAATGTTGAAATGTTTCTTACTTCAAGAATCGAGACTAGACCAGTGACTTGTACTACATTTGCAAATGCAGCATAGCCAATGCTTAAGAGTTACCGGTGCACACATATACATGCACTAAGTCCATTCAGCAATTAAAAAGTATGGACTTTTACAACTTTGCTTGTTTGGGGGCGTAATAACATGTCAAAGCTTCTGTACATCTCACTTCAATCAGTAGTAGTAATTCCTTGTGGATTCCAAAGACACAGACCTATGAAGGATAGTGAATGTTAGGTCAACTATGGTAAGAAATTAGTGTACATGAGCAAGGCCTTTACGGACTTGACCCGGATACCTACTCTGTCGACAAAAAAAAAAAAAAAAAAAAGCAAGGCCTAACCAGGCTTCTGATACTAGACTCTTGCAAATATCTTTCAGCAGTAAAAATTAACATTGCGTACCTGGAAGATAGTACAGCTTAAGCCCAGAGCAGGTATGAAGAGATATGCTGACTGAGTGTTCTGTTGGTTGAAGAAACATGTAGAGAGCGGAGTAGCACAATGATATCAGCACATGGTGCTTTTAACTTGTGTTTTTTGGAAGACAATTAAGAAAGTATGGAGCCAAACTGATCCATCCTGAAGTTGAGACGCATATGGGCTCAACAGTTCAAAATCAATTAGCAGGCCTGCCAGTTAAGGACCACAAGATAGAGAGAGTCAAACAAGCTAGCATCCATGGTAGCAAAACTCCGCATTAACGGCAGTGGCAGAACCTGTAGATGGACTGCCAATTCCAATAGGCCATTAGATCTGTACAAGCTGTCCAAATTTTCTGTTCCAAATACCATTTCTCGTGCAATATAATCACAAAGAATGGCATTCTAATAATGGATTTTTTTAGTTGTAGCACTATGGATGAGGGTAAGATACACAGATGGGAGAAAACTCACCTCACCAGGGTGGAAACAGCATTAACCTGCAATCTCCACAAGAACAAGTACCTTCCTTAATAAATGTGTGACAATCACCACAGACCCTAAAATACTTAGTAATCCTAATATGGTTCCATCAGGAGCGCCCAAATGCAATGTCAACTTTTCACTGTGAGTGTATGTATAAGATTCGTGTTCGAGTTCCTTACCAACATCATGCAGATATGTGGAGATATCCTCGTTTGCTCTGTTAGTGGAACACTCATGTGCAGTATAGCAGAATGATATGATCACATGGGGCTTTTGGACATTTGGAAGACAACGAAGAATTCAAAACAAGGAGCTAGTATAGCTCTAACTATGTACACAATATATTTATCACTTAAAATCAACTAGAGGCCCGGCGTCAAGGACCACAAGATAGTGAAGGCAACCAAGCTAGCATTCACAGTGGCAGAAGCGCACATCAACAGCAGTTGCAGAAGCTCTGCATAGAGTGTCCCACGAGTCTGTATACAACCCTCAAATTTCAAATTTTCACAACAGACGCCATTTTTGCATCCACATAGTCACAAACAAAAAATTCTATGTAGGGTGAGGGAGGAGTCATCCCACCAACGTGGAAACAGCAATCACCAGTAATCTCCACAAGAACAAGCACCATCCTTAAAATGATGAAATCTATTTGCATCTCGCACAATAACTAACCTATTTGCCACTAATGAAACATATTTAATAAATGTATGACAATCACCACAAACCCTTAGGTTCTTTGTAATTCTAATAGGGCTTCCCTCAGGAGTCGCAGAGAGACCAAATGTGATAGCCAACTTTTCGCTGTGTGTGTATAAGATTCCTCGCTTACATTCCTCATCAACATCATGCAACACATAATTCGTGTCGGGAACATAGCCAGCCAGCTCTAATTTATTGCACAAACATTTTAGCTTCTCATATATCTCCTTCAACTGAGGATGAGAATGGTCTCCAATGGTAAATTGATGGATTTTGTTATCCACTTCAATGCATGTCCAACCAGGAACTTTTTTCAATCTCTGACGGGTCATTAGTTCCCGAATCCTGGCAACATCTTTCCACTTCCCTGCTCTGGCATATATATTAGCAAGCAATATATAATGATGCCCAGCATTTTCAGGCTGCAATTCAAGAAGAGATCTTGCTGCCTCTTCTGCAAGTTCAACATGACCATAAATTCGACATGCCCCTAGTAAAGCTCCCCACAGTCCCTCATCCTTTTCAATGGCCATATTCTTGATTAAGCTCGAGGCTTCATCAAGTCTCCCAGCGCGGCCCAAGAGGTCAACCACACAAGTAAAATGTTTCACATTTGGTCTAACACCATACTCTTCTTGCATAAGGGAGAAGAGCTTAAGCCCATCTTCAACCATCCCTGAATGACTACAAGCATACAATATTGAGACAAAAGTGATACTATTAGGCACCATCCCAGTCATTAACATCATAGAGAAATAGTCAAGAGCTTCTCTACCACGCCCATGATATCCATAAGCCGCAATCATTGCACTCCAAGTTACTACATTTTTTATTCCCATTCTATCAAATATCTCTCTAGCAGATTCCACACACCCACACTTGGCATACATATCAATCATCGCAGTTCCTAGAACCACAGTCAACCAAAATTTCTTCCCAGAAATATAATCATGGACAAGCCTAGCCTTGTGCATAGCCCCTAATTTGGCACAAGCATTAACAACATTTACCATAGCAACGCTATCCGGGACAATACCTTCTTCTTGCATCCTATCAAACAACAAAAGGGCCTCGTTTGCGCTTCCACATTCAGTTTGCGCCCCAATCATGACCGTCCAAGTGACGAGGTCCCTTTCAAGCATTGTATCAAACATCGTCTTGGCATCATCGATAACCTTACATTTCGCATACATATCCACTAGGGCTGCAGCAACAAAAGGATCAGAATGCAATCCAAATTTATGTACAATTTGATGAATCAATCTACCCATTTGGAGGTCGGTTGTATCTCTACAAACCCTTATCACCAAAGGCAATGTATAGTTATCGGGATGATCCGCTGACCTTATATACTCCCTAAAAGTCCTAAAACAATCTACACAGTCCCCATTTTTCGCGAACCCACCAACCATAACGCTCCAAGACATTGAATTTTTCTCCTTAATTCCACAAAACAAACCATGAGCTTCAGTTACAGCCCTGTGCGCTGTGTACATGTAAAGAAGTTTATTAGCAATGACAAGATTTTTAAGCAGTCCGTTCACAGTTACTTGGCTGTGAACTTGTTTGATCTGGGGTACGTTTTTACATTTGGGAAGTGTAAAAAGATAAAAACTTGGGTCCAATGATTGAGAGTTAGATGTTTCTAAAATGGCGTGATCTGAGTTGGGAAAGCTTCTGGATCATCATCATTGGGATGGTCCAAGGATTCAACTGTTGCAGTAGCAGGACTGCCAGGACCTGCTGAAAGTAAGCCAACTCTTCCGAACTTAGGAGAGGGCAGAAGGTATTGGTGTTTAAATTTGAACATTCGTTCCTAGGAGTCGATTAACTAAGACTAAGAGCCTGACTTTAAAGAAACGAGTGTTGTAACCATTACAATGTAAGACTGGTTATGAACTCCTGGCGAAGCCATTTTTGAATTGACCTTAATCAACCCCCAAGCCTTCTTATTATTAGGAGGATTTTATTGAAATCTTTTTTCTGCTTTGTCTTGAATAACAAAATAGGAAAATCACGCCCCAAGCATTCTTAATACCCTCTTTTATAAAATCAACCCTTTTTAGTTTTTGTTTTGTGTCTTTTTTAGTTTTCTTTTCTAAAAGATAAATGTTTTGCAGGTTTATCAAAAGTTCGTAGTCAAAATAGAATTTCAAAAATTTAACAAAAGCTTTAGAGGTTAAAATCATATTTATGAAAAGTACTTGAACTTGATACAAAGAGTACATGGCAATTTTTATGAGGTGATCCAATTGACTGGGAGGACTTACAAGAATTGAATCGACATCAGATCATACAGGTGCACCATCCACCCATGTGAATTTAGAACAATTCTCATATAAAACTACATTGATAGAAAAGTAAAATTTAAACTCTTGACCTCTCATCCCACAAATAAAGGAGTTAGTTAAATGATGAAAAACAAAATTTAAACCTTTAATCTTCCATTCCACCAAATCTTAAAAACTATAGTGGTGGCCAATAGCCAATATATTTGTTAGATATAAATACATGGCTAATTTTTTTTTTTTTTGTCAAAATAAATACATGGCTAATTAGAAGACGGGTTTTTTTGGTGACCCGACCCGAAAAGGAAATAGTTGACTTTGCCGCAACTCTGACTGAAACAAGGTGCGTAACAAACAAATGTAAGTACTCTAAATGTACGTTGAGACTCCCCACAATTTACAACTTTTACCTTAATCCCAAGTAGGGATTATTTATAATTGATGAGCCTATAATAATACAAATCCTAAGACCAATTTCTGCTCTGCATGTATCAATTGCAGTTGATAGTAAAGGTATACATGAAACATACAGATACAAAACAAAATATAAAAACATGTCCAAGCCAGAAACCATGAAGCTGTTAATTGATCTGTGACAGAGGGGAGCGTGGAATAAGAGACGGCTTTGCTTCTTTTCTTCGAAAAGATTCATATGAATGGTTTTCCCGAAATTCCTCCAGAAGGGTATCCATCGGCATGGCCCGAAGTGCTTCAATACTACTCTTGCTAGGAACATCTGGCTCTGACCGAGATGGTGTTGTGCCCGTTGGTTCATAATCCTGACCCGATTATTAACCCGCCACATTAAACAAAAAACCACGTTAATGCATTATAGCATTTTCCTCTAAGCAAAATTCGAAATGAAAACAGTGAAGAACGCCATGCTTCATTTACTAGTTTTGAGCTTAAGATTACCAAATCTCCTTCCTTGACTGCTTGACTCAATTTTATATAAACACAAAGGGGAACTGTGAAACCTCAAAGTGTAGTACCTTATGCTACTTGAGAAAATAGCCATCCAATTATATCTGTCTAGTGGAGAATCAAACTTAGAAAAGTCCTAGCCCTTAGCCAAACAGGGAAACTTTTACAAACGGTTAGGGAAGTAACAAAGGTTGTCAGCTTTGGTCTCGTCACTACTCTCTCTCTCACTATCTGACTACCTAATTTTTGAAGCCCAAAAGGCAAAAGAATAATGTCTGCATCCAGCATGAAACAGATGGCTTACTTCACAATTAAAAGTTATGAAGAAATAAATTCAGGCAAAGCGTACAGTTCTCACTGTAGTGAAGAGTGAAGCCTATTGAACATCTATAGACAAGTGGACTAATTAAGATATCGATAGACAAGTTGTAAATCATCATACCATATACTGCTCATTGAAGGCTTCATTAGCCTTTTGTCCTATTACGGCAGACTGCATATTATGATCATTCTGAAGTTTCTCAAGCGTCTCAGAATGAGCTCTTGAAGCTGTCAGAATTTCAGATACAGACCTCCTCTCTTGCTCTGACATGCCTGAATTTTCAGCAAAAGAGCAATCACCAAGCATCAACATAATTCTTAAGATCCATTAAAATCGCACGAACAACCCGTTAAGGTACATATACATGCACAAAAAGTAATATATAAGGTCCTCCTATACCAGACAGATTACTTTCAGAAATGCAAAGAATAAAATCTCTGTTCTACCAGTGATCTGCCCTTGCATTGCTGGTTTTGCACATACAAATTGTAATCTGCATGGCTATATTGCGATAAATGAGTGGAGTCATATATAACACAGTGTCAGTAAGGCTGAAACTAGGCTTGTTTTGAATCTATCATGAGTCATGCCATACAACACAGGCATAAGCACTAATAAAAGATCAACAAAATGCTATACTTTGGCTTGGTCACTAAAATTCTCTCCTTTCTTTAGCAAATTGCAATTCTGATTGTAGATCTCAGTATTCTGTGGTGACTTTTAAAGATTTAAGTGCTTAGTGCAAGCATCCTAGTACCTCGCAATAACCACATTAAATTCCTTTGTTTGAAGGTCCACAAAAGATCAGAAAAATGGCCAGAATGAAGGAAAGCTCATCACAAACTCCCCCTCATGTTATTGGCATGAAAACAAACTGACAGGGAATATTAACAAATTATGTCAGCCAAGATTTGTGGATATCCAACACTAACTAAAAATATGTAAATGGCACAGAAATGACACAGACATGTATCTTTTTAAAACAAATGACATTCTATACAGACTCTTCTGCGTTTACAGACATTTATCAGTTAAATGACAATCTAAATCACAGGTTTAAATCTGGTATTGGAAGCAGTAATAGTTTGCGAGTATTACCATTAAAGCATTGGATTGTGTCTTCATTGGATCTGACTACATCCACTTCAGCTGCAATTCTTGCAGAGTCTATCTCAGACAAATGTTGCTCATTACCGTCACAGAGATTCCTGTAAAAAAAGTTTTAAAATCTATTTGATACAGTGCCATTATTAATCATCTTTCAAGCAATCAATAGCAAACCTATTTAATATCTGCCTCTAAATGTTCTGCACGTTTCAAGTAACTAAAGACTACCACATCCAGGAAAAAGCAAATCAGTTGCATGAAATTGCACAGTCCAGGATGCATTCATTTAACAGTAACAACCCCACCCCCCCCGGCCAAAACCTGGGCCCTCTCTAATTTCTGTCCAACTCCAAATTACCAAAACAGGATCCAAAATAACATTTGCAAGATTTGATCTTTAAAACCAGCTTCTGGTTAAGATTAATTGGATCTGACTGTCAACTAGTGACTTTTTTTTTTTGCTGTTTGAAGGAGACAATTCAAAGCACAGATGCTAAGGGCACAAAAGCTCTGTCTAAGGGAGGAAAAGAACTAACATACTTAAGCAAAACAATGCCTTTCCTTCCTTATTAACCAACATTTAACTTTCCTATTTCTTCCATTATTTTAGAAGCCTTAATTACTGTTCCTTTCACAAATGAAGATAGTCTCCAAAGTTTAGCACTGACCTAACAAGTGAAGCCATTTTAGTGACATGTTGACTGCTCATCTCAGTAACAGATTCCTGTGCTTTCTCCCACCTCTTGATTGCTGCTTGAGTAGTCGATACACTAGATTCAAAAGAAAAGCAAGACTAAAGAAAGTACAAATAAAGTGGTAAAAGAGCACCACAAGAGCATAAATATAAATTTTAAAGCAACACTTTATCCAGATAGGAAAAACAAAGATTGTATTTCCCATGTAGAAAGAAAAATTACAGTCCAAGAACATAGCCATCAACATTTCATACCTCTCCTGAAAAAGTAACTCCATCCGACAATGTTTAGCTGCAGAAAAGTCAGCACTATCTTTTATATCATTCTCAGCCTGCATGAAATAATCCTGCCACTTTCTTTTTGTTTCTGTAGTAATACCATCCACCATCGAAATGTGCCCATCCAAAAATGTTTTATTTCCAGTAACTGTCTCCCTAAGATTGACAAGTCTTGCATCTACCTGTTGAGTTTATCCATCAATCCAAATACAAAGATGAAAGCCTACAGGCACCAAAACGAAAAAATCACAACAAACCAGCTCTTTTTGACGCTGTATGTGTGTGGAAACCAGTGTTGTCATATCAGCAATGAGCTGCTCTGCATTAGACCTGGATTGTTCCTACAATCAGACCAAAAATATAAGCATCTCAATTCACAATCCCAGTTTCAGTTTTTAGGTTTTACAATGTACCTCATAAGCCTTCTGAAATTCAGCAATACTGTTTGTCTGAACTTCATCAATCTGAGATGCATGTCTTTCAAGCCTTTTAGATTCTTCCATGAGTTTTTCAAGGAAGCCATGTATGCCATCCGACGTGCTTGTCAAATGCTCAACACCAGCATTAAACCTCTGTGGGTTAGAATAGGTCAACTATAACATGAAACTAAAAGAGCCATAATAAAAGTGCACTCAGGCGCGAACCAAATGTATGCAATTCAATCGGCAAAGTAGAAACATCAAGTTGAAAACAATAGAGGACTACCAAACAAAAGGTAAATGTATGCCCTCCTTAAGCTAAGATGCAAACCTGGCGAAGTTCCCTCGCAAAATGTGCCATTTCCCCTTGGTGTGTAGATAGTGTATCCTGAAGTTTGTCAAAAACTGACTTTGCTTCAACAGAATCTGCAGCTAAGAACTATATCCACAGGTCCAAAACATTTGTGAATAAGAACAATTAGCCAATCCAGCTAAATATAAATCTTAGTAGATCAAATAATGTGCACTTCTTACTTCTTCAGTAGAATCTGCATCAGAAGCAGCCAAAGCTGATATTTCCTCCAAAGCAGCATTCGATGTAGCTCCATGCAGTCGAACAACATTTTGCATAGCCTCAAAGTGGGAGATAAACGAAGCCTTTGAGGCACTTAACTTTTTCTTAATATCTGCCATAGCCTACAAGCAAATATTTTAAATCATTGGACACAAAAGAAACAAAGCAAAGAATTGAAAGCCAAATGACCATTAAGAGTTCTTGCAAGTTGAAATCTAAAAGTACCTTTTCATGTGACTCAAGAAAAGAATGACAGAGTTTA